CACACACACACACACACACACACACACACACACACACACACATACACACATACACACAAACTTGAAACTCTCTCTCTGCACCAAGGAATTCTTCAATCTCGTCTCCTCCGAGAACCGTGAAAATCCTCCCATCTATTCCTCAAATCGAGATCACTCGTTTGATCCATATATGATCCATTGCCAGATTCAACAGTTTCACCATTGCCCTTCTCACCACTCATTGCTCCGCCCTCCGAACGATGAGGATCATCCTCTCTAATCTTCAGATCCCCATCAATCTTATGATAAGTGCATACTCCATCGCCAATTTTTCCAATTCCACCATAACCGCTTTCCTCCCCACAGGTAAGTGGGTCTTGAGAACCTTCTTGTCGACTTGTCTTGTGCTCACATTTTTCCTTGTCCCCAACTTCCACAGCACCTTTCTCTCTTACTACCTCACCATCACTGTTTTGAGGCAGGTTATCCTGATGGCACTGACCTATCACACAAGCCCATCTTAGTTCACCTCCACAGTTCCAGCATGACACGTTGAACTTTGTAGGAGGTCCGCTCTAGCAACGTTTTTTGGAGTTTCTTTAATATGCTAGAGCTCCTGGCTCACTTGTCTTCCCAGTCATACGATGGTAACCCCTCTGCTCTCTCTAACTTGGTCGTTTTTCGCAGGTTGCAACCCACCAGGACCACAGACCCCTTCTTCCAGCCGTGCTGCTCAACAACTTCGGAAGTCTGTCCCGAATTTCTCCCTTAGCTTTCTTTCTTTTCCGGGAGGGAAAAGCTTAAGTGATCACCTCCCCAACCTACAGATCTGCTAAAAGTGTCCTAGTTGGGCTTAATCTACTATTAGCAGATCATGTGGTGAAGAAAGCGCCCTCACCTGGTTATAACAGACCTTCGAGGCAAACGGACCGATACTTCCTAGCAGGAACGGTAAGAAGTTAGTAGGCTTTTACGAACGTCCAAAACAAGAAAGCGCCAGAGACAGGAATCAACTTTGGAACAAGCAGAAACCCCAATCATTACATCACTCAGTAGCTTGACGCCGAAGGTCTACCGTAGATTAGCTTCCTTCGGAATCCAAAATTTGAAAACTTATTTGGAAAGAGTTTTCCGATAAAAACCTTGGCAGTTGTTCTTCCTACCCCTCGTATCTGCGACAAAGTTCAAACTCTTGCTCTTTTAAAGCCGCTGAGAGTTAAACAGACGATTTTTTCCTCCCCAAGGCCCGCCTATCTTTTGAGCTCTAAAGACGGGTTTCACCTTCTTCTTGTGAGCCGCGTATATCCCTACCAACATCACTACCCGCCCGCCTTCCGGATCCGGACTGACATGCCTCATTCCATTCGTTGCCATAGACTCAACCCTTTTCTCCCCTCCCTGCCATCATGCCTGCCAAATCTTATCCTGCAAGAAACTTGTCCTCACATTAATGTCTCGCGTCCTGGCAAGATCAGACATCGTTGATGCCTTCCCCTCAACAGCTTGATAGTCTCCTTTCCCTATGCTTACTACAGAGTGTTGAGTCTCGGCTACCTGCTCCACCCGATGTCGTATAGAGGTTCTCTCCTGTCCCTCACCAGACTGACTACATCACTCTCTGGCGGTAAGGGTTATTCCATGGGAAGGACGCTGCTCTCAGCGTTCTTCGGCTTTGGCATATTCAAGATTGTTCACAGATAATTTCAGCAAAGTTTAGTGTCGACATCTCGTCACTCCCGAGATCCCCCAACCTTCCCTTTCCCTAAGGACAAGCCCGCTTCTCCCTTGCTCGACTGTTGTTGCAGTCGACGGCTAAGAGAACCGCCTCTCCCATGCTGCGCGCGCCGGGATATGGCGGGTAAGCCTTGCGCACAGGAAACCCTAACGTAATGCACGCGCGTCACGAGTATTGAGCGCTCCAGTGCCGCCACTCCTTTCGTCCTCCGAAGTTCGTCTGCCAGAAGTGAGACCTTCAATACAAACAACTTTTGGCTGAGGTTCACATCAGAATTCCTCACGAAACTGAAAAAAAAAAGAAAATAACCAAATCATACCAAGGCACCCCCCTTCAAAACCCATTAGCCCCTTAAAACTAATTTATACCCCCCTTTGCCCCCCTCGGCCCCCCTTTAACTGTAGGGCCAATGGGGTCCGAAATAGTTTTTACGGACCACACGGGAAGGACCCAACTTCAAAGAGGCTTTTCCGATTTCTAGTTAAAACATCCAGGTGGGATCAGCCCCTAAGCACGAACATGGGGCTTCCTGTGCCCGGGCCGCCTGACCTCCCCCAAACACAACGCAACCTAATTCTGAATGTATACAAGCCATCTTTCCGGCCAGATGTAGTTCGCAGCCAAAGGCTGCGTCTTACCCCGTTGCACTTTGTCGTGTAGTGGGGCTTTCCTCAAACAGAATGTCGACGACCTGTTAACGGGGTGTATGGGGCGTCGAGAAGGTGCGCGGTCGGGGGCAGGGCACAAACCAGTAGCCGAAACGGTCGGCTCATAGGTTGGAGCGCAGGCGACCAAGGGCAGGTTGCATAGGTCGTTGTTTGGCCGTGGTGGGCGTCGACCGGCCTTTCCTTTTTTGGTGTGGACTTTTTTTTTTTTCGTTTCGGCCTATGTTTTTGAAGGGGGGGGAAGGGGGGTTGTTTTGGGGCAGGCGGGGTCTAGTAAGTGACAAGTGACGGAAGGAATGGCCAAACGCCCTCGCTCCACCACTGTGCAAAATGTGATGTGAATGAAGGTAAGGTTCAGGGCATCGCCTCACCATTCTCGAAATTTGCAAAATGGGAATGAACTTCTCGCTAGAACATGGCCAGATGCACCCGCCGCATTTTTTGTCTTTCTTTCACATTTCCAGAGTGGTGTGGCGAGGCCCAGAGTCCACGGCGGTCTATCGTTGGTGGTGGAGGCGGGAGGAGTGAGAAAAGGGCCACCTCGCCTGTCCTGTCGGAATGAGGGTGCGTTGTGCTCGGGGGAAGTCGGACAGTCCCATCCCTGCTCAGGTGTGATCACGGCTGTCGCCGAGGACTCCGGGGGTTGTTTTGGGGCAGGCGGGGTCTAGTAAGTGATAAGTGATGGAAGGGATGGCCAAACGCCCTCGCTCCACCACTGTGCAAAATATGATGTGAATGAAGGGAAGGTTCAGGGCATCGCCTCACCATTCTCGAAATTTGCAAAATGGGAATGAACTTCTTGCTAGAACATGGCCAGTCGCACCCGCCACATTTCGAAGAGAGTGGTGTGGTGAGTCCACGGCGGTCTATCGTTGGTGGTGGAGGCGGGAGGAGTGAGAAAAGGGCCACCTCGCCTGTCCTGCTCCTCGCTCCCGCGCTCCCGCACCCTGTGTGGTACACAGTCGGAATGAGGGTGCGTTGTGCTTGGGGGAAGTCGGACAGTCCCATCCCTGCTCAGGTGTGATCACGGCTGTCGCGGAGGACTCCGGTTTCTTTTTTTTTTTTTTTTTAATTCGGACCATTTCTTTTTTTTTTAATGCGTGTCATCCTTGCACAGGTGCCATGCTAGCTAGGGGGTTCCCTGAAGGCAATAAATAAAGGCCACCCTGGGCTGAAAAGGCCACCCGATGTCAGATTAGACACTACATTGAATTTACCTGGGCTGGTTAGTCCGATGATAATACCTCAAGGCCATCGCACTCTGATCGTTCCAATTTTAACGGATGTCCCGAAGGACCAGTTTCTATTTTCAAATTGAACGGTTATTGCATTGCACCGAGGCAATTTTCACCAGCACGTAACGGCCGTAGATTTTCCCGCCAACACCTGGGTGGACGTGGAGCGGGCCCGATTCCAGAACCTCCGTTATCCCGGCCTCAAGGTTTCCTATCATTAAATCTTCAGCCTTGGGCACAGGGCCCTTTAAAAAAAAAAAAAAAACCTCCGTTATGGTGCAAGCTCTGGGCCTAGGTCCCACTTGCACGAATTAAGAGATCCTGACCGTAGATAGCAAAGATCAACGGCCCAAATCTCCTAATTTGCGCAACTGGGTGGGACCTTGCCCCTGCGGCTCGGAACTCGATTATCCACGTGGCAAATGAGAAGATGGCGGGAACTGTGAGGCGATGAAAATATTCGGAGGATGTCAAACGTGGCGCCAGTTGGTGTGTCCAATCTGTCGGGATCTGCCTTTTCAAAGGAACTACAGAGATAGAGGGCACCAAATGTGCAAAATGACAATGTATTTCCCGCCATAACGTGGAAAGGTACACCCGATATATTTTTTGTTTTTTCACATGTGCTTAGTGGTGCGGCGAGTACGAGAGATCCACGAGCGAGCGAGCAAGCGCGAGACAATCTCTGTGTGTGTATGTGTGTGTGTGTGTGTGTGTGAGAGAGAGAGAGAGAGAGAGAGAGAGAGAGAGAGAGGATGTGTGTCTCGTTAAGCAGGTGGGGAGATGGATATTCTGAATCTAGATGTGTATTGAGTTTTTTTCTTACCGCCGAGTCCGACGACGCTTATCGCATTTTCTCCCTTCTCTCATCGCCCACGTAAAACCACAAGCAGGGACTTTGTCAATGTGGTAGAGGCTGAGAAGAAGGTAGCCCTTGCCGTCTGTTTGTTCTAGGAGAGCGCGATCGCCTGAACAAAGCCTATCGCCCGAAGAAAGGCAGCATATCAGCCATCATGGATTTCTACCTTCTTTTCTTCTTCCTCCTCTTCGTTTGCGGCTTCATCACGCATTTTCAAAGATCTACTGTCGCCATGGACACGTCAGATGCCTACAAACGTTTTCAACGAGGGTATATGGTCGTCTATCTGCTTGCTGTCGGTATGTACGCAATTAACTCACTCTCTCTCTCTCTCTCTCTCTCTCTCTCTCTCTCTCTCTCTCTCTCTCTCTCTCTCTCTCTCTCTCTCTCTCTCT